AGAGTTTATTATCTTTTTTCGTTTATCCAAACCAGATACATCTTTTCGTCGTTGAATATTTAATAGTGTTCTTTATAAATTGCTCAGTGCTGAAAATTGACCCCGTATTCATGATCACGCAATGGTTTGTTTAACTTGGAGTACGGTCATATAGACTAATATTCTATATTAACGATTCCAGAACCGTTAAAAACAAATTTGTGTTATAAAAGGAATGTTTAAGTGAGATTCTACATTTTCGTGGGGAAATACTCCCGATGTTACTTGATCATTTGTCGAAATGGTGGTTGCAAAAGGGGGAGGCGTGTGTTGTCGGGGAAGCTCCACGTCATTCATGTTCCAGTCCGATGATACGAATCTAAGAAGACGTTGCGGCACAACTGTTGACAACATTATCAGAAACGGCCGTTGCTACTGAAAGTCGACGACGTTTTGTCAACAGACAGACTAATGTGACAAGCCAATAACTTTACTTATAGCAGGAAAAAATGTGAAATACTTATTCATTCTGACATTTATCTAATATCAATTTTTTTACAATCGCTGATATAATATAAAACTATATATATATAATATAGTTTTCAATAACGCCGAAACGTTTGGAATCTACAACTATATTAGCTAAGAAAAATAAAGTTAGCTAGGAGCTAAATTAAAAATGTCCAAAGTTCGATTCGCAATGCCCCTGAATAAGCTTCGTAGTTTTAGCAGTAAGCTCGTTATACAAAGCCAGTAAATCCAGTTTTTGTAACGCATTGAACTACTTGCTGGAGTCCTTATTCTGGAAAGTAGTTCAAAATTAAGGATGACTATTCCTGAACTATCCGGGTCTCTGACCTGACCGTTTAGCCCATGTGTGTATAAGGTGCCGTTCAGATTGAAAATACTAGTATCAGTATTCTCATGGTCAGCGACCTTACATTTCAAAGTTGTATTGACCAAATTTACTGGCAAAACTAGCAGCCTACTATTGTAAAATACTTACACTATAATACATATCTGTAAAATCCAGGAGAAGTAGTAACGATATATGGATATGACGCTAAGGCTAAAAGAATCACGATCACTTACAACTATAAAAATATTTTATAATAAATAAACATTTTGTTCTTAAAACAGTCTACAGTAATAAGTTTCAATATATTGTTTATGTGTTTTTTTATATTTTAGTTCCTGCAGTACCACATATAACTCATTGTGTAGTGTTTTTACTTACATATTGTTTTATTTTCATTTTTACCTTTCATATTAGGAATCGAACCATGTTTTTCTTGTTTTGTCATAAACTTACCAACATTTTCTTAGAGTCTAACTAAAATTTAACTTACTAAAGACATCCTTTATGTGATGACAGTGATGTAAAATTCACTGACTGTTTCGTAAACTGTAACTTCTAATTTGATCACATGTTAGAAACTAGTGGCTTGTTGCTAACGTTACAAGAAAATTGACCTAAAGTAAGTACACGTGTCTGAGATTCAATAAACAAATAAAGTAAGTGCTTGAAAGCTTTGTTCTGCCCAATGTATATAAGGCTTCAACTATAGACCTACAAAAGAATGATAATTTGTGAGCTAGATATGTATTTGTAAATATAATATGATAGACGAACAAACTGGTATACAGAAGTGTAGGATAAAATTGTACACGTAGGTAGCATTTCATTTAATGTTATCTTATTTACATTGAAGCCTGATATGGCTTGGTAGTGCCTACGTCTCGCGGGATCGAATCTCGTTCCCGAACGTGCTAGCTCTTTTAGTCGTGGGAGATTGACGGTCAATCCCAGTATTGATTGGTAAATAGTAGCTCAAGAGTTGGCGGTGGGCGGTGTTGACTAGCTGTCTTTCCTCTACTCTATTCCTTCAGCATTAAAAACGACTAGCGCATATAGTTTTGCGCGAAAACTTAATAAACAAAGAAACAAACAAACAAACCAGAGTGTAGGTCGTTGTTTCTAGGAAATAGTTTATTAAGAGAATCGCGAATAGTTTTCGAGTGGAATGTTTGTAAAAAAGTAGCCATAATAATTTGGAAACTTCCTGAGCAAAGGAAAGTATCGGCTTACATAGCTATAAGCTTGCCATGTTCTTAATCCACATTCTAAACTCTGTAACTGTGAATGAATTTGTAGTTAAAAACTCTTGAGCCTTTGCTCAGGAAATTTCCAAATTTTTGTATGCAGATTATTACATTAGAGCAAGTTTTGACATTGATTCTCTTCTTACAAACATTTCCTCGAAGAAACTATTCAAATTTATCTTTAAAAAAAAACTATTTCCTTGAAACAATGAGCCACACTCTGGCTTCAACTAGAACAACTATTTAAATCTACCCTTATGGACAATCATTTTGTTTTCAGCAAACAGGCCTATATGGAATTATAATCGATAATCAGTACCCTAACATCAGATGCCCCTTCCCCCGTGATTCAGTGGTAAGCTTGCTGGTTTATAACAGTAAATTTCGGGGTTCGAACCCTCCTGTGGGCATAACAGACATAGCCAGTTTTTCAGCCTCAGGCTTAACGATAAACGCATATTAATTTGTAATGGTGAAACGCGTGACCTTTCGTAAGAGCACGTCATTGTTACATAACCACACAGATTATGGAATTCAAGACATTTAGACATCTAAAGCCTAAAGTTAAAATCACCAGTTCCCTCTTAGAACTGAATATGCAGCTATTGTTTTTATTGGTAAAATGATTTTTGCAGGAATACGATTCAATGTAAAGCTTTCAGAAATTGCATAAACGATAGTGTAGCGTCTGTACTTTCAGGCATGAACATGTAGAGATGTAGAACTATCAGTTTGGCGTTTTTATTCTCAGGATGAGCACACAGAGACCTCGGTTTAGTGATAACACTAAATAAGAAAAACGAAGATTAACGTGAAACAAAACTTATCAGGGTTTCTGAATGTTATCCGTTTTATTTATCTATACAAATGTCTTAAAAGTTTAGTTTCTGAAGTAAAACAAAGATGGCATATTAAATGTTTGAGTAATTAAAAACAAACCGAGTTTGTCGAAGGTGTTTATTAAATCCTGTATTGAACTTTTAAACCTTGATGGTAAGTTTTTATTTTGTAAAAGAATCTTATAAGGCCCTACTCTAAAATTCTCACAGTGTGAAAGTATTAGTGTAGCATCCTTATTCTCAGGTATGAGCATGTATGACTGTAGAAGTATTAGCGTAGGATCTCCACTCCCAGGCATGAACATGCAGACACCATAGAAGTATTATTCAGCGTCCCTACTCTCAGGTAGAAACATGTAGAGATGTAAAAGTATTAGCGTAGAGTCTCTTCTGTCAGAAATAAACATGTAGAGACTTGGGTTTAATGATAACACTAAATAAAAAAAGATTCATGTTCTATGTAGGTTTGTTAAAACGTTGCTTATAAGCAACTGTAGTTTTATTACTTGTAATAGCTGGCTTTAATCACAAGTTTGACCTAGCGGACTTGTAGTAAAGTCACTTTATCTGTTAGGATTGACTACTTGAAGAGTCTAGCCCGGTTAGAATGAAATATATAGGTACATCTCCTCTAAATAAAACATTCTACAGTAGAAAAGTTTGAGAAGTATAACCATAACTTGCTGGTCAGTAGACAGACCTAATGTCAAAGGTCCTTTTTCTTGGTTTTTATGCTGAATTCAGTTATTTTTTGTTCCATAAAACCTTTTTGGTTGTAAAGGCCATCAGACATCAGATCTTCCTGACATCTCGATATTTGATACCTGACACTTCTAAGAATTGAAGAAGATGAGGAAAACACTAACCCATATTTTGGCCTAACAACATTAAGCCCGTTTGACACTGATTCAAAATTTTTGGTTTTGATCACACTGTATCCTCTGTTTGCTTAGTTAATTCTTTTCTTTTACAAACTGGTTATAAAAAAAACAACAACAAAAAGAGTAAAACTGCGTACAAACTTTTAAATAATCAACTACGCAGTTGTGAAGACAATCCCATGCACGCACCAAAGACTTCTTGCATCACTTCATTATATGTTTAAAGCATTTGGATCAAGTAAAGGGAGAAAAATGGATACTTAGATGTGCTTCTGTTATTACACTTTGAACTCTCTCAAAATAAGCCATGTCCATAATGAGTATCTAAAACAAAGGTTTCTATTAAACGAAATGGTGCAATTTTTTTATTCGTCTCTTTTTTAAGTGTGTGTTGTATTAACAAGCATAATAACATAGATGTTCAAGAATTTTCAATTGGCATTGCAAAACACGATATAAGAATCATATTAAGGTTACAACTTCCAAAGAAATTTACTTCCACGACGTTGATTCAAGACAACAAATAGGGTTTGTGTGTTCCTTAAGTAAAGTATACTATAGTCTATATTATTGTTGCTTTCGTGGATAACATTTGTTATAGTAGTTGGTATATCGAATGTTATTAATTTTTATTTTCATTAATTTTTTATTATAATTGCAGTTTTATTATGAAAATTGTTTTGTGTTGCTAGTTTAAAAGTGTATCTAGGATAAACCAAAATCTCTTAAGCTAGCAAGGAGAACCTCCTGAGACATTATTGGTATTATGGCCAAAAATATCGTTAACAGCGAGGATACCTAACTGAGAGAACAATGCATTATAATCTTTATAAGTAGAAACGTAAGAAAAGTATGCATAATTATTTATGCTGATGGCTAGCCTGATTTTTTTTTAGTTTCGCTTTAAATTCGTTGCTTACTTTAACAGAAAGTTATTATTTTTTGCTCAAACATTACTACATAAGGTAGCAATTAGCCTCAGTCACGTTGGAAAAAAAAAAGGAAGTTTTTGTGATATTTCAGTATTATTTGTAGAATTTAGTAACAATAATAGCTTCACCTTCACCATTTAAATAAGGGATAGCTGATATAGCACGCGTCTATCTAACACAGTAGGGGGCGCCAGGAATGCTCCTTCAATGATCTCTCTGTTATAACGTATAGCCGTGAAGCCTACATTCGTGCGGCTGGACCTGGTGCAGCCTCAACGCCTCAGGAGACTGACGCTAGCGTATCTACGACTTTTCATAAAGCTTCTTCTATAAACAGGAGGACACGCAGAACGAGAGCAGATTGGTTAGTGCAATCGAAGTGACCGGAGAGGTAGAGTGCAAAGGAAATCACCGACTTCTACAATAAAAAAAAAAGTAGTTGGATAATTCTACAGGGGGAAAAAAGTTTCGTCAGGTCAAGAAACCTTTCCAAAGTTGAGATGACAAAATTTCCGTGCTTCAACCTTATCATGTGTTATCTACTACCGATTCTCGGCACAACTATTCAGAAGCATATTGAAGGTGAGATGCCTAAGAAACAGAGAGTAAAAGATATTATATGTGTGTGTATATATATGAGATACTTAAAGCTTATTAGTATGCTAATCTGACTTTTCAAATATAATCATAATATAATTATAAACAAAACACGTTTATCCTGGGAAAAAATGTACTTTCCTACTTTTAGATAATTGTAATTATGATACGTAAGTCTGTGCGCATGAGTATGTATGTATACCTCGGTATGTATGTATTAATTCTTTAATATATATATATATATATATATATAAGAAAAGTAAGTAAATAACTTAATTTTAACTCGTTAGTTTCGCTTACTTTACTTACTTTTCCGTTTAGACAAATAAATATAACTTAGTTTCGATAATGGTCTTAGCATATTTGTTAAAAAAAAACGTAACATTTAAACGCTTAGCAGTTTAAAAACAACAAGACAATTGTTTGTGGTCAAGTTTTGTTTGTTTGAAGTTAAGCACAGAGCTACACATGGGCTAGCTAAGCTCCGTCCACCACGGGAATCGAAACCCCGTTTCTAGCGTTGTAAATCCGTAGACATGTCGCTATGCCACTGGGTGGCATGTGGTGTCAACTTTACGGAACTTAACGATTCTGGTTCGGCTATGCGTTAATGTAGAATCGATTTTAAAACTACATTAGCACAAATATCACATATTTTTGAACTTTCCTAAGTAACTTCAACAATAAAGTATAATTGCTTTGTTATTCATGTAGATCGATATAAGCTCAGCATTTTCCAAGAAATCGAAATCCCTTGAATTATGCTAAACATTATGTATTTTTCATCTAAAGTAATTAAACATTACGATCTGATTTATAAATTGTAGTTTTTTCCGTTAGAAAACCTCTGTTTTCCTTTTAATATACTTACACAGTTCAGAGTTAGGATTCGAGAACTCTGTTTCCTTGTTTGTACTTAAGCATAAACCTACACAATGGCTATCCGTGCTCTGCCTACCACGGGTATTGAAACCCGGATTCTAGCGTTCTAAGTCCGCAGACATACCGCTGTGCCACTAGAGGGAGCGAGTTAAAAGTGGATGTGCCACCAGGACGTGTCATAGAAACAAAATTATTAAAGAAAAACATCTAATTATTTATTCACAATGTTCGAAATGAAAAAAAAAAAAAGATAGAAAAAATTTACTATTAGTCACGATCAACTCCTTAATGGAAAATAAGTATTAAGAAGCTTTTTTAAGAACAATTTGAGAAACTATAAAGGCCATGATCGATCAACCTAGGTGGTTAATGAAGCTTTTCCTTCTTAAGCTTTACACGCATATTTTGTCAGATACATAAGACCGAATAACTGCAAATCTGATTATCAGATTGTAAATTAATCTCTTTGAAACGTTATATACGAACGGAATGTCCAAATCAGAACATGTTAATCACCATTAACGTTCTTGTGCCATCATATTCAGGAGGAATTTGAAAACAAAACAAAAAACAAACTGTCATATATCTTTTCAATTAATATTTTTTTTTGTACAAGTAAATGATATGTTAGTAAGTGAAATGCATCCATTACTAAGCTGTCACTAGATATGCTGGAAGAAAGGGCTCTAAAATTTAATGCAATCTAATAAGTATTTTCTGATATTTTCATGACGAAGAAATTATGATAAAAATAATTTCTGTAGTCAAGGTAGCATTAAGCCGATTCATCCCCTCCCCAGTGGCTTAGCGATAAGTTTTCAGGCTGACGACGCAAAAAATCAGGTTTGATACGCATGATTAAGTAAGGACTTATAGCCCATTGTGTAGCTCTGTGCTTAACAACAAACAAACGAAGTCAATTTCAGTTGTAGATGCGTTATTGGAGTGACAAGCAATGTAGCAATTCTGTTAAGAGTAAATGCTTCAGGTGGCAGGTGCTGCCGACTGGTTTCCTTCTCTCTGGTTTGCAGTAGAAACTTAGGGGCGAATATGCTTAACACTTGTGCATAAAATGTTGTTCAAGTGAGCAAACAAAGGAACTTGTTACAAATGGCTGGAGACGGCTTGAATGGGTAATGAAGAAAAACTTTAATATATGTTTAACATAACAGCAAATGTACAACGTTTCGACAAGTACCTGATGAT